AACTTGCCATGGCCAACTCACCATGGCCAACTCATCATGGCCAACTCATCAATGCCAACTCGCCATGGCCAACTCATCAATGCCAACTCACCATGGCTAACTCTTCATGGCCAACTCATCAATGCCAACTCACCATGGCCAACTCACCGCAGCCAACTTGCCATGGCCAACTCACCATGGCTAACTCATGGTCAACTCATCACTGCCAATTCACCATGGCCACCTTGCCATGGCCAACTCACTGTGGGACAAGAGTTACACTAATATCAAAGAAATGGTGGAATAGAATCATTAAGAAAAGGATGCAAAAAGAGGGACAGAATAAAATGTGAATGACAAACATGAGAATATTTTTTATTTATTTTAAATCATTAAATTGAATTGTTAAATTGTCCCACAGCGAGTTGCTCCCTGGCCAGTTGGCCTTGGTGAGTTGGCCGCAGCGAGTTGGCTGTGGTGAGTTGTCCCATTCCAAAACCAGCCCTAGGATGACCACAGTGTTAATGACCACTGCAAAAGAGATCATAAAATCAGGTCAATCATGCGACCGCCTTGCTTTGCTACCGTCACGACCTAAATCCAGAATGGGCAGGTTCTATCACCATCATAACTTGAGGACTCCTTATAGTTGGAGACATAATAGACCAGCGAAAACTTACTTAGATATCATTCTAGTATCATTTTGAACAAGGGTCCCCAACTCCAGGCCGAAGCCCACTAGTGGGCTGTGGCCTATTCAGAACCGGGCCGCATGACAGGTGGGCTGGTGTGTGTGTGTGTGTGCAGCTTGGCTCGTGCAAGCAGTGGGCTGTCACACATGTGCATGTATGCCCAGATCAACTTGCAGTCCAGTATCAAACTGTTGCTCATGTGAGTCAAGCTGCACGCACATGCGTATGCCTGCTGGGTCACTACTCTTGCTGCCCAGTTCCCCTCTCCCCCACTCCCCAGCTGGGCAAAGGTTGGGGACTGCTGATTTAGAACACAGAGCATAAAACACAGAACAACAGAGTTGGATGGGACCTTGGAGGTCTTCTAGTCCAACCCTCTGCTCAAGCAGGCTAGACAAAGCTTTGGTTGTGCTCTTTGCCTGACACAACTGTGCTTTGCCAGTAGTTCCCAGTAATAACTTCTGCAGTGGACCAGAAGTGAAATGCTGCCGATTCAGCCCGGTTCACGTGAACTGGTAGTAAAAAAAAATGCTACAGGTTCACCTGAAACGGTATTTCCAACGATCAGCTGTGCCACGCGATTTAGATTAGCTAGAAAGCAGGAAATCATCGGATTGTCAGATTCCGTCAGTTACTCCAATTAAATCATGAGCCTCGAGCGACACTCCCAAAACTTCAAAGGATTTATTTGAAGTTAACGTGCTGGCATTTTCCCAGGCGTAGCCAACTCTGAGATATTCACCGTCACCCTTGACCCTGTTTCCCCCACCACTCTGGGTGTATCATCCAATGAGACAGTTCCATAGCCAAGAGTCATCAATCACGCTCTCCAATTAGATTTTTCGCACGGCAGAAGCTTCAGTCCTCTAATCAGTCTCTGAAGAAAATATGAATGGGAGGTACTTTCGATTCCACACTGCCGCCTGTTCTTTGAAATCTCCCCCCCCTTCTTTCTGTTGACAACTATAAAACATGTATACAAAATGTTTTATGAGTTGACACAGATTTCTTGCTTTTTTAGCTAATCTAAATCGAGTGGCAGAGCTGATTCCATGCCCCCCTGTTGCTGTTGTACTTACCTCGGAAGGCTTCAAAATGCTTCTTTTTTCAGTGCCTCAGGAGGCTCCCCTGAGGCCCGCTAGGCCAAAAACGGGGTGTGTGTGTGTGTGGGTGCTGCGTGCCCCCCCCATGCCCCATTTTTGCTCCCAGGAGGCTTCCCTGAGGCCCACTAGGCTAAAAAAAAAAGGGGGGGCGTGGGGAGGAGGCTACAAAAAACCCCCTTTTGACTCCCCCCAGTCACATGACCATTGGCCACGCCCCCGGTCACATGACTGCCTGGCCACGCCCACCTGGCCACACCCACAGAACCGGTAGTAAAAAAAAAAATGGAATCCCACCACTGGAGCCTTGAGGAATGCATCTTACTCCGTGACTTGGAGGGTGTAGGTGGTTGGAGAATCCATTTCTGGCAGAAGATCCCAGTAGCAGGTGATGTTTTTCCCCCAGAAGCTGACACAAGACTTAATCTTGAGAGTCCCGGGCATCCCTCCTTAAAGAGAAACCAAGACAGAAAACCCAGTTACTGTCTAAGAGCTGAAAGGCTAGAATAAACGAAGCAGAGAAGTCACCGGATCTTTGGGCCTCCAAGTCACCAGGAGACCACGAGTTCAAGTCCTGGCTTAGGCAGGAAGCAAGCTGAGTGGTTTGGGGGGCCTGTCCCTCCCTCACGGCTCTAGGAAGAAGTGACCGCAAACCAGTTCCGACAAAGAGGCCAAGAAAACTGCAATTTTTGTCCGAAGGGAGGACTTTGGATCGCCTTTGAAAGCTTGTCAGTTTGAAGATGGGTGGACTTCAAGTTCCAGAATTCCCCAGCCAGCATTTGTGGATTTCGACTCCCAGAATTCC